GAAAAAATAATGTAAACAGACTTAGAAGGTGCATTAACAGGCAGAAAAACATGGGATTTATATCTGCGCTGGGTACAATGGGATTTATATCTGCACTGCTATGATTGCTTATAAACACATGCTATTTTGGACCGATATCTTTCTCGAAATATAGACTTAAATAAACAAAAGTTCGACCACAGCTGAGGTGGCGTTCAGCAGGCCTCAGACACAGTCAAGCATTTTTAAAAACGTGATTGGTGGGCTAAGAAGTTTATCCGCCTGGTTCCTCAAATTCCCAAACAGTTTATTTGAATACTGAGTGAATGGCTAATCTACAAGTTTTGGGGCTTTAACAAGGTAAACGAATGGGTGGGCTGTGAAAGTAAACACTGCATTTCCTCCCAGGCTCACCCTAGCTTCCAAAATTCCTCTCCGTCACTCCTTTCACTCTCCCCAGCCTTCTAGTTCCCAAGCTTGGTGTCTTGTATCCTGTAAAAGTACTGAAATTGCAAAGGAGACATTTTTAATTACAAGTACTACAGTAATGAATTCAAGTACACTCGTTTATCATAAAGGGCTTTCCCATCTGTCTCTAAAGTATACTTAAAAATGCTGTGTATTTGATAACATTAGCACCAAGCATCTTCCACATGTTAATATCCAGCGATTTAGATGTTCGCTCCCCCCACCTCGAAAGACCGCACAGTGGTAGTTTGAGAAAGAGCACATTTATCTCTCTGTGTTTGGGAGTGCCTGTGTGGTCTCTTCCTAATTTATTTGCACTCCAATCCTTGGGGATCTCATCACAATCCCCCTAGGCAAAGGGAGATTAGGGAATAGGACTGTCTGCTTCTCCCCACTCTGACAGAGAAGGAAAAACGACTTCCCCAAGTCCCACAAGTTCTTCTGGCCACTGTACAAATTGTTCTTGAGCATGGAGGGTTTCCAAAAGCCCTAATTAGCAACTCACAGCAAACATTTCTTTGCATTAGCTAATGATCCGGCTGCACTTGTAAGCAAACAGAACCAACATATCTAATCAATGCTGAAAAACCAACCAAATGCCTATTAAACATCTGGATGTAATTTTCTAGTTAGAACAAAATGAAAACATATGCAGGTTCCTTTGATCTTCGTCTTAACAAAGAAATTGTTGATAAAAAAGCATACTGGTCAGTCAACGTGTCATTTTCATAAAGTATGCTCATTTCTCTTCAAATGCTCCCAGTTTAATTTAGTTGGTTTCCTGCAATCTCTAATTTTACCATATTGTGTGAAACCGCAAGAGATTCTTTGGAAGTGATTTTATTTAAGGTTTTACTGCTGCATGGGTCTGCTACTGATTTTTTTTCCTTCTCTGCCTTCTTCCCTTCACCTCCATGTCCATCTTGCCCTTTTCTTTGGTAAAGGGGTGTAGGAGAAAAAGATTACAAAGCAATGCTGGGAAAAATTCTTCTGGACCCCACATTCTTAGGTTTAAGAAAACTCTCCGTTAGGAGAAAAAAAAAGAGGCTGGGTTGAATGGCTCACGCCTGTAATCTTGACACTTTGGGAGGCTGTGGCGGGCAGATCACCTTAGGTCAGGAGTTTGAGACCAGCCTGGCCAACACTGTGAAACCCCGTCTCTACTAAAAATACAAAAATTAGCTGGGCATGGTGGTTTGAGCCTGCAATCCTAGCTGCTCAGGAGGCCGAGGCACACTGATCACCTGAACCCGGGAGGCTGAGGTTGCAATGAGCTGAGATCATGCCACTATACTCCAGGCTGGGTGACAGAGCGACACGCTGACTCAAAAAAAAAAAAAAGGCAAATGAGGAAATGTATGAGCAATAACTCTCAGCTAAAAGGAAGAGAACACAACAAAAGTGGTCTTTTAAAAATTACAATTATTGGCGGGGTATGGTGACTCATGCCTGTAATCTCAGCACTTTGGGAGGCTGAGGTGGGGAGATCACCTGAGGTCAGGAGTTTGAGACCAGGCTGGCCAACATGGTGAAACCCCATCTCTACTTCAACTAAAAATACAAAAATTAGCCGGTGTGGTGGCGTGTGCCTGTAATCCCAGCTACTCAGGGGGTTGAGGCAGGAGATTCGCTTCAACCCGGGAGGCAGAGGTTGCAGTGAGCCGGGATGGCGCCATTGTACTCTATCCTGAGCAATAGAGTGAGACTCCCGTATAAAAAAACATTACAATTATTATTTCAAATAAAAAAGTAATAGATTTAAAAGATGTCTAGTTGCTATGATTCATAACTTTTCGTATTTTGTCTAGTGTCTATACTAAATAACATCTAGCTTTTGTAGTTACTTAGGCTATCGCTGAGTTGAAAATGTGATAATCAGCAACAAATGAATGGGAATATACCCACATATGCAACAAAAGAAAAGGAACAAGCTGACAATCTTTCTGATTCTTTGCAGAGGATAAAAAGGGTCCTGTGTTTTTCAGAGAAAATTTCCTGTGGAAGCATCATACTTAATATTATTTCATGTAAAATCATCATTGACATATGAATGTTAAAGGTAAGGAAGATTATGGTTAACAAGCTTTAAATGGAAGACCAAAATTATAGATTTCATGAGAAGGACTATTTTCTTTTAAACAGGCTGTAGGCAATCTGCACATATATTATTTATTTAAAACAGAAGATTAAAGCTACTTGATTGTTTAAACACCATCATTTGTAATGCAGTTTGATGAGAGTTTTGTAGTATAATTATTACAGCATGACAATCATGGAGAAAATATGACCTTGAAAAAGGGCAGAGCCTTCTCCCACCCTCACAGACAATGCTCTAAATGGGAAAAAAGAGCTTCAAAAACCAAAAACAACCATTTTTATGCACACAATTAAAGGCCTTCCAATTTTAAATTCATAATGCTCTGTAGCTACTATAGATACTACATTACAAGGAAATCAGAAGGCCTGGTGTTTCAAACTCTATTGGCAAAGAAGCACTAGTTAAAAAAGAATTTCCAGTTTTTACTCATGGCAAACTGGGAAATATGGTGAGCAGACACATTACATTATCTGTGAGTAGTTATATTACAGAACATTTAAAGATGTCTTAGAACTGATTTTGAGGGCAGCAGGGTGGGTAAGGAAGAGAAGTAGCAACACTTTTGCCCAATCCCAAAGCATATTTTAATTGCTCTGTTTAAACTTAACAAGAATGTGCCAGTTATTCAAGATACAGGCACCACGTAAAGCCTGGGTAAGCTGGGGAGGAGTATCAGTTGCTCCAGTTGTCGCAGCATGTATACAAGCATACTTGTGGCATCCAAGCACTTTCCACCCAGTCCTGGAGCTGATTATGGGATGAACTAGCCATAGACTGGCATATATGGCTCAATCACTAGATGATATCAAGGAAAACAGGTTGCTAAGAACAAAGCCCTGGGATCCTATGATTCCAAAAAGTCCTCTATGTCGAGCAAAGCTCTCATCACTAAATTTAACCAAGGAAAGAGAGGCAGTGCTTCCTTTATTTCATTCTCCATGTTAGCAAAATTAATAATATCGCTGCTTTCCCAACTGTACTTAATGAGAATACCACAAAGCCACAAAGTCCAACTTGTTTAAGAATTTACTATGGCCTCGTACAGACTAGCTAAAATCGCTTTTTTATTTTTCATTTATAATTGATATTTGGGAGTGATGCAATTTTAGACAAATCAATATCATACATATTTAAAAACAACTCCAACAGTGAAATGTATTATTTAAAACGACTTCTAAAACTATTTGAAGAAAAAGATCTGTAAAAGCACATCTTTAAATAAAATGTATGTTTGTTTAAAGAAGCTCCTTCCCATAAGTCTCCTGAAGGTAAAATAATGGGAACGTGGGGGTTATTAATACAAAAAACTTAACTAGTTTCCAACATAAGATAAATACTTGTCCAAGATGTGCCCTTATGGAAGAAATACCACCGTTTGGCTAAACTAGCATTATTCACTCACTGGGCATGTGGCAGTAGTTCCATTGGACAGTTCTTCAAACAAAAGTATACATGCGGCAATATTGACGGTTTTCTGCTGTGGGTGTATTTAGAGAAATACACAAAACCTGAAGACTCTCAGCATGAGTTATACAGCATGTCTTGATTATTACAGTCTCAAAATCCCTTTAAATTCAAGTTCCACTTCGTAAGAACCTTAGCCACGTCATTTATTTAACTCTTCCCATTTAGCTCCTCACACAGCTCAGCTCAGGGGTACCACCCAGACTACGGGGGTGGGGTGGGCGGAACAGGTTTTTTCAGGTCTCAGTGCGGGTTTATGACTTTATCTCTCTTTGTTCCCAGTAATTGGAAACACACTCATGGGCTTGTAGCTGAGAGGCTCCTAAAAACCTCAGCTGCTCCCCTCCTCTCCCAACACAGCGAAGTAAGGACTTTTAAGACTAAGACCTGGGATTTCGCGCCCCGAGCAAAGCGTCTCCTCTGCGGACACGCGTGCCTTGTTCTGGCAGCATCCTGGGAATCTTTCCCGCCAAACGAGGCAGGATGATTTTTTTGAAGAGTGGCGTGAAATCCTGCAATAAAATCAAATCCTACCACTATGGGTGCAAAGGGGGTGGGTAGGGTGGGAGGACATTATAGTCGTCTTTGCGGCTGGTGTACGTACGCCAACCGTGTGGTTGCTCATTTACGCATTTCCTACTAAAGGCAGCTCAAGAAAAAATAAACCTCAAATTTTTGAATGTGGCCTCACTTTCAGAGTAGCATCAAACAGGGGTCCAGTACCGAAAAACTCATTTGCTCGAATTACCAAAAACGCCCCTCCGCCTCCAATAAATACGCAGCTAGTCTTTGAGTTACTTTCACTCAGATCTGAGGATTTTCATTAAAAGGAAAAGTGAGCAAGCGGCAGGATTTTTGCAAACTCGAGCCCCCAGCTTCCTCGGCAGCACGCTCGCCAGTCCCTCCCGTTAGCGCGCACCCGCGTTCTCCCTAGCCAGCCCCACGTTACTTTGATTGACAGCCCAGCCCCGCCGCTCTCCTTCCCACCGACCTTCCCATCTTCAGTGCCAATCTCCGCGCACTGCCGCTTCCCATTGGCTGGTTTTGGCGTCCCGCGGCTCCTCCAGGAACAGTTCCTCACCGAGCCCGGGAGGACGCGGCTGGCGGAGGAGGGGTCGGGGTGGGAGGGGAGACCGACGAGACGGCGGAGATGGAAGCGAGAGAAAGGGGGAGGGAGAACGACCCGTCCGGCGCTGCGCTGCCATAGGCTCCGGGGAGGAGCGCGTCAGCGCCCCACGTTGGGTGGAGAGCACACGATTGGCTGATGCGGGCCTCCTGCCCCCTCCCAACCTCGCGGGCCCACGTCCCCCGCCGGCTCCGCGCTCGCGCCCCCCGCCCGCGTGGGGCTGGGCGGGGCCGGCGCTGGTTAGCTCCGGAGTGTGAAACCGCGTGTTAATGTAACCGGCGCGAGAGGCGCGGGCGGCGGCGGCGGCGGCGGTGGGAGCGGCGGCTGCAGGAGCAGGAGCAGCAGCACCAGCAGCAGCAGTGGCGGCGGGTACTCAGTGCCCCGCGTCCGGGAGCAGCCGACTGCGCCACCCCCACCCTCGCACGGCCGGGCGGGACCCGCGCCACTAGCCCGGACCTCCGTCGTTTCACGGTGACTAAAACCCCGCTGGCCCCGCCGCGGTGACTACTCCGGACTCGCCCGCGGAGTTTGCCCGCGGGGGAGGGAGGCCGAGCCGCGGAGTGCACAACTGCTGTTTTCCCCACCGTCTCGAGGATGTCGTCTTTTGGGTGGTGAGAGAACTTTGCCGCGGGCTGGAGCGCCCTTTGCGGAGAGGCACACGAAGGGAAGGAAGAAAAGAAAGAAGACCGAGGAAGAAGAGACTCGGAAGAAAGGTCCGGAGCGGCCGGGCCGGCCGTGCGGGGCGAGTGCGCGCAAGGCGCGGCGCCCTGATGCGCCCCGGGCTCGAGGAGCAGCGGGCAGCTGCGGGACTGTTTTCTGCGGAGTAGCCCCGTCGGGCCAGGAGGGTTTGTGCAACCGCGGAGAACACCGAGTGCTGGTCGCACGGGGCGTGCCGAGCCGCCTCCCGGCGCGCCCTCCGCACTTTCCCCGCCTCGTCATCCTTCGCTCCCCGGCCGGGATCCTCCGCCGCGTCCCGGGAGCCCGCGAGCACCGGGCCGAAGGCGCAGTCGGGTCTTGGGGGAGTCGCCCAGAAAGCGTCCGGTTTGTTTGTGTGGGGTTAGCCGGGGCCGCCGCGCCACCTGCACCTCGCCCGCCGCCGTCGTCGCGGAGAAAACCCGGAGAGGAGGCGGACCAGGAGAAGAGCAAAGAAAAGCAGCCCGCCTGGATTTGTTTGCCCAGGACTGACGCCGTGCACGCGGATCGCCAAGGGGAGTGCGGTCGGAGCCACTGCTCCCCCGCCTCACCGCCCGGGCGGCTGAGGCCGGGGGGTTGGAGCGCAGCCCCCGCGCTCAGTCCCCGGGCGTCCGGCGTCGCCGCGCAGGTTCTTGGAGCAGCTAGGCCTGGGGCGGCCGGCTATGTGGCCCTGAGGGCGGGAGCCCGCACCGACGGGAGCGGGAGCAGCTGCGGGCGCTGAGTGGCCGGTGCGCCCGGCCGAGCGCGCCTGCGTGCGTGGCCAGCGCGCCCCCCGCGTTCCCCGCTTTTGCCCGGCTTCCTGGCTTAATTTTCCTCGGCGGGATTAAAGTTGGAAATTGACCGGAGAATTGAGTTGCCCGGGAACAGAGCCTCGGCCGCCGCCAGAGCGATGTTCCCGCAGAGCCGGCACCCGGTGAGGCGCGGCTGGGTGGGGGCGGGGGGGCAGCGGGCAGGAGCTCTGGGAAGAAGCTTCTCCGGGGCGGTGGGGAGACGGGTGGCTTCTGCGGCCCGGCGGACCCTCTGGCCCTCAGCGGCGTAAGACTGGGGAGGTTCGGGACATCCCCCTCCTGGGTTGGGGAGTGGGCAGAAACTCTGAATTTTCTCCCTTCCTTTGGGCTCCTTCCTACTTGACGTCTATACTGAGCGGACGGGCGCTGGGGAAGGCTAGGGTTTCTCTTGAGCAGCCATATCCCTCCCCACCTTCCCCGAGGGGGGAAAGGCGCCCCCCCCTTTTGTTTCTCGTCTCGCCTGTTTACGTGTCATTGCGGCCCCCGTTCCGGTGCGTCTGGAGGTGGCCCCGGCGACTCTGGGAATGGGGAGCGTAAAGGAGTTGTTTTTCTTTTCTGGTCCCCGGGGTCATTATCGCCCCCGTGGGGGAAGGGGCGGCGACACCGACAATCTGGCCTGGCCTTCCCTGGCCGCCGGGAAGCCCCCTTCCCTCTGGCCTAGTGACCAGGGAGCACTTAGCGCGATCCGCCGGGGAGGCTGGGAAGAGCTTTCGAGCCCTTTTAGAAGCCGGGGCCTGGGGAGTGTCCACTTTCCCCTTTCCCAAAGTGAAGCGCAAACTCGAGTTTGGGACCTCGTTTTCAGCCACTTATAACTTTATTTTTTATGTGCGACCCGTTCCTTCCTCCTCTGATGTACTGCTTTATTCATCCGCCCGCATTCCCGTCCCTCGGTCCCCCTCGCTGGTCGCCCCTAGACGCCGCACCAGGCTGCAGGCCAGCCCTTCAAGTTCACTATCCCGGAGTCCCTGGACCGGATTAAAGAGGAATTCCAGTTTCTGCAGGCGCAGTATCACAGGTGCGTGTCCGGCAACGCCAGGCGACTGGTCTCGGGCGGCCCCGTGCCCCTCGTCGCCCAGCTGGGTAAGCGGCGGCGCCTGTACTTAGTTCTTGCGTCCAGGCGGTGGCGTTTGGAGTCGCTGTTAAGACCTGTCATTCAAGTTACCCACTTTCGTGGCTCTTCCCGGGCTGCCTCTTCTCTTGTCTCCTCCTCCTCCCATTGTTTCCCTTTTGCTGGTTTGCTGCTGTTCCAGGGAGCCCTTTTTGGTGTCTCTAGAAGTTGCATGAGAATCGTCAATATTTGCAGTTCATTTATTTATTTTTCAACAGACCGAGCTGAAACATTGGCTCAATCGATGTCTCAGTCCTGGAGTGTGGGTTCAGGGAAGCAATGCCATGTTGAAATCGCTGTTTGCCGTACTAGAAAATTGGGTTTTCTGAGGCAAAGTCCATTAAGGATGGCTAGATGCTTTTAACATTGCCCATCATTGGTGATGGTGAGGGAGGTGGGTATATAGTATGCAGAAGAAAGCTCATCTACTTTGGCGTCATTTCGGGTTGGTTTGGGTAGGATGAGAGTCACATTTATATCCATCTCAGCCTTAGTTTCTTCGTGTAGTGAGACTTGCCTTCAAAGGACTTATAAATGAAAGCTATTTGTAAAATACCCTGCCAACAGTGAACTTCTCAGAAAGGTTAGTTACTTTCCCTTGCTGCAATGACGTTTTCGCTGATTCTAACTCAGAAATAACTGTATTAACATTTTTTGCTTTTGTCGTGCTTGAGAAAAAGCACACAGATGAGGCCAAGTGGCTTGGGTGTGAATTTTCTTACGTTGTCTGGGGCTTTCTGATTATTGACCTTTTGTCTACTTGTAGATAATATCTTTGCAGCTTGAGGCATGCTTGCACACACCATGTTTACCTAGCAGGGAGAACTTCAACCTACTTTATTGCAGTAGCTATTTGACATATTTTGGCAGGGATTTACAAACCGAAGGTTTTGAAAGGGACCAGCAACTGTAGGGGTAACTTAACAGGATTTTCAAACCTAGAGACCGTTTGAGTTGGCAAAGATGGCACAGCCTATGCCTAAGAGTAAGGATTGTGTAAGGGCCGGATTTTGGTGGAGTCCAGAGAAAAACTGATGCAGGAAGGTAGGAAACACAACCATGAGGAGGAATCAGTTTGAGGTTTTGACGGATATTTTCATTCTTGTCCATTCAGATAGCACCAGGAAGAATGGTAGCTGAATGTACATTTTGTACTGTTCCCATTATTTCTCTTCCCTATTAAATACAAGGACAAAGCTTTTGAGTGTTTACCTAGATAGTTTATGGCTTTTCCAAATTGGTCTGTGTTTTTACTTGAAGTGCAAATATGTGAGGCAGATGTTAAAACAAGTGACATAATGTTTACATTAAGTTGCCTGTTTTGTTTTCATAGCCTTAAATTGGAATGTGAGAAACTGGCAAGTGAAAAGACAGAAATGCAGAGGCACTATGTGATGGTAGGTATCAACGATTGGACATTTTTCTCTTTTCATATGATATTAGCAAACGTGTTAGAATAAAACATGTGAGTTAATGAAATGCTTCTTTTTTCTCTTTACAGTATTATGAAATGTCATATGGATTAAACATTGAAATGCATAAACAGGTAAGCTTTAGTTGAACTTTACGCTGAAACGAGAAATCAGTTAATATGATTTTACAATACTGGCTTTGTTCTCAGTAGTGGGCTATAGGGGTGGGGGTTTGTATGCAATTTTTCTGCTTTGGTTTCCTGTCCTGCGGATTGATGGTAGGATTCTGCAGCAAGGGTTGCTTCTTGACAATTACAGTGTTTAAATGACTAGGAGAGAGAGAGGTGTTTTGGAAATATAAACTAGCCTGTTTATTGGCAGATAGGAATTGAGACTTGAGTTTACTTTTCCACCTGTATAGATTTATCCTCTTGAAAGTGCTGGATGTCTTACAGAGTCGCCGAAGTTTAGAATAGCTGATGTTTTTATGAGGTTTTGCAAGGAAGTGTGGACCTGTGGGGGGGAAAAAGGTATTCAGGAGTTTCTTTAATTATAGTAAACAAAGTATATGACTGTGGAGTATTCTCTATGCTTTGGGGCTGCATGAAGCAACAGTCAGGATTAGTGACATTAGCAAACACATTTTTGAAAAATGTCTCAGTTGTTGCAGGTTTGGATGTGAAAAAAGCATCTTTTTGTGCCCAGAGCGTATGTTGGGAGTTGCTTCAGTCCTAGTGGTTTTAAAAGCATGAAAAGATTAGTGACTGGAAAGCTCTAGCTATGACTATGAGTTTGCAAGTTCCCATAAAATTCACACTTATGGCTACTATAATGGTGTATAAAAAGAGTATTGAGCTGGAACAAGGCACTAAGGACCTCATAAGAGAAGAAAAGCTAAATGATTGCTCAGCCCAAAGGACCCTCAATTGAGTAGTCATTGTCTGCCAAAGAAAGCATTAATGGCAGGGTGTAAGTATTCTGGAGATATGCTGACATTCACTTTTTCATCAAGACGCTGGTA